GACTTTTTTTCTGTCTGAATCCGTTATTATCTATCCTAATACGTTACAATCTATCTATGCTAACCCGTTAAGATCTATCTATTCTAATCTGTTAAGATCTATCTATGCTAATCCGTTAATCTCCAGATCCATTAATATCTATCTATCTGTCCTAATCATTTACCATCTATTAAGACTAATCTGTTAAGATATATTTATGCTAATCCGTTACGGTCTATCTATGCAAATCCGGAAAGATCTATCATAATCAGTGACGATCTATCTATCCAGATGCGTTACAATCTATCTATCGACCTATCTATTCTAATCTATTACGATATATCTATCCTAATCCATTAATATCTATCTATCTATCTATCTATCTATCTATCTATCCTAATAATTTACGAACTATTAATACTAATCCGTTGAGATCTATTCATGCTAATCCGTTAGGTCTATCTATGCTAATCCGTAAACATCTATCTATCAGTTACGATCTATCTATCCAAGTGTGTTACGATCTATCTATCCTAATGCGTTAATATATATATATCCTAATCTTTTACGATCTATCTATCCTAATCCATTAAGATCTATCTATCCTAATCCATTAAGATCTATCTATCAATTACGATCTATTTTAATCCGTTAAGCTCTATCTATTCTAATCCAGTAAGATCTATGTTAATCCGTTACGATCTATCCTGATCTATTAAAATCTATCTAAATCCGTTACGATCTGTCTTAACCCGTTAAGATCCATCCTTGCTAATACGTTACGATCTAATCCATTAAGATATATCATAATCCGTTACTATCTATCTATTCTAATCCATTACTGTCTATCCTAATCCGTTAAGACCTATCTATCCTAACCTGTTACGATCTATCTATTCTAATCGTTTACTATTTATCTAACGTAATCCCTTAAGATCTATATATCTATTCTAACACCTTACGATCTATCCTAATCCGTTGACATCTATGTAAATATATTACTACCATAATCAATTAAAATATATCTATCAGGCAACATATATCTATCTTAATCCGGTACAATAAATCCTAAACAGTGATGATCTATCTATCCTAATCATTTACGATCTATTAATACAAATCCGTTAAGTTCTAGCTATGATAATTCGTTACGATCTATGCTAATCTGTTGGGATATATCCTTATCAGTTTTTTGGGTACCTCGAGGTGGTGTAATGGTTAGCAAGCTTGTCTCGCTAGAACAATTACGACTGAGTAGTGAGTTCGATCCTCACTGGGTGCCCCGTACTTTCGGCCTTGTGTCACATCTAATCTACGCTTGGGGAAACACTATCCTAATCAGTTTCGATCTATCTCTCCTAATACACTACGATATATATTAAGATATATACAAGATACGCCTATCCTAATCTGTTACGATCTATCTATCTAAATCCTTTACAATCTAGTCTAACCAGCTACGATTGACCAATAAAAAGTAACAAACAGGAGATAATCCCGAAGTAGCCGAGGGAAGGAGAACAGAGTAAGGATAATTGAACCTCTCCCCCAAACAACCCGGAGTTTGGTTCAAATTTTCGAGCCGAATATAACTGGCATCTGGAAACGGGCGGAAAATACACCAATCAAAACTTTATGATTTTCGAATAAATCATCCTTTCTATTTGGCGCAACCCATTGGCGCAACACATTCTTCCGATTCGATATTTTCCAACATGTAACATTCAGTCATCCCCGTATTAATATCAACATATTTTTATATGTCTTAAAATAATTTTCACTTTCCCTTAATCAACTTTATTCTTCAACAAAAAAAAAATGTACAATTATATCTTTTTCAATTATATAGTCACCATTATTTGCCACGGATTCTTGTCCCTTATCAGGCAGCTGGTGGATATCTTTAGATTAAAATTCCGATGTGAAAAGAATTTACGACCAAAATCTTGAACCTGGAAAAGTTTTCTTCATCAAAGCTTTTTGAAGAGATCGAAAAAGGTAATTATCTGTCGGTGCAAATTCAATTGAATATAGCGGATGGTCTTGTGGGGATCACTTACATGTGCCACACCTCCATTTCCTTCAATATCCTTGGTTCGTAAATAGATGATACTTATCATATGACAATTTTGCCATCGCAGGTAATTTGAAATTTTCTCTAAAATCACGGATTGGTCCATTTCCTGACCAATCGCGTATTTTAGTATCTTTTCTATATTTTTAGCGCCAAGTTCTCTGGAGTCTACCCATCGTTATATAAAGACTCTCGCTGTTTCCTAACAGTCAGTAGCAGTTCAATTCTTGGAAAATAAGGCACGGCGCTATATTGACATTTTAATTCTCAATTATCTCTCAACCGAGTAATCATACTAATTCCTATTGATATCACTCATGGACATTACATCTTTCTACACTGATAAAACACTGTGGAACTATTCTTTATTTAGCTAAGACTTCAATTGAACTTTGTAGTTAAATTACATTCAATTTTGTACTCAACATTGATATAGCTAAACTTACCCTTTTTATTACGGAAGAAGGGAAGCAACTTTCCTTAGACTATTGTTGATATTTGTATATCATTGTTAATACAATATTTTATTAATGTTCACTGAGCTTGATTATTTTGCTCTCGTGTTTGTTGTACATAATTCATGTGGGGTGTTGTTTTACAAGAACACAGCCTTCCTTCTTTATTATATTCACGGTGACCCTAGCCAACAATACTTACAGCACCACTACAGTCTAAAACATAAACCGGTTTCAAATGTTTTCCTGTGTTATTCTTGCTGCAGGCCACCTTGTGTTGTCGTTGAGGAGAGCAATACTTTTACTATTGACAAACGCAGGGCGCTTTTCGGCAAAATCTTCATGGGCACGTTACAGCTGCTGGAATTATAGATGTGCATTTATTATATTATTATTATTATTATTATTATACAGGGTGTCTATAAAAATCGTGTGCACTTTAAAAAAATTATAACTTTATTTGTATTTGCGATAGAAATAATCTGTAAAAATGTTATTAAGTTTAATGTACCTAGTTTTAAGTATAGCTAAAATAACTAATGTCATTTCAGGCATGACTGTAAATCAGTTGGCAAATGTTTTCCGTGAACTGCGACATTATTTACCCTTTGTATTGTTAATGATGGTGGACATGTGGAAACTTAAATAAAATTTCAATAAAACCTTAAAAAATATAGATTTACTTCTTTCTAATCCTTTTTACAAATTATTTCTATCGCAGATACAAATAAAGTTATACATTTTTTAAAGTGCACACAAACTTTATGGACAGCCTGTATATATATATACACTAATTATGTCAGTTATCTCCTGTTAATTTCCCTCTCCAAATTCTCCACCGCCTTAACCAGGTATTGAACTCACGGTCTTTGGGTCCTGTCACTGGATCTAACTAATGCCTTTATCCACTGTGTCATGTGTCCTTGATGACCCAAAGAGTGTGAGTTCAGTACCTGGTTAAGGCAGTGGAGAACTTAAAGAGGGGAATTAACAGGAGATAACTGACATCCATTAGACGTGGCACGTGGAACTAGAACAGTCTACCCCAGTGAGCGAAATAAAGGGTTCAGTTCGACATTTCAACCACCTGAAGAAAGCCGGAGCGTACATCGGCCGAAACGTTGTGGTAAATATGGCAAAGATAAGGACAATAGTCCGAATAATGTAAATAGTCTACATAATACCTCATGTCAGAAATATAGACAGGTATGAATAGGAGTTAGCATAATACTGTTATGAATAATCAAGAGTGGTCTCCCTTTGTTTTGTTACTCTCCTCTTTGAGAGAGCTATTTCTGTTTACTGGGACTATAAAAGGACACTATACGCGAACCTTGTATCCTCAGTTGAATAAAGCTTTCTTAAAGACTACATCTGCGTACTTCTGTCATTACAAATTCATTGTTCATTACAATTGTTTTCCCTAAACGGAAATTACTTATGACCCAACCGAAAAGTTCGCTAAACATTTCCGAACAAAAGACAACTAATTTGTATATATGTATATACGAGCTTTGTAGAGATCAGGTAAATAAGCGATTGCAAAACTTAATATTCGCTTGGCGAAAGTCCGGATGAATATGGCGTATGGGGTAGAACTGATCAAGCGAATTCCATTTTTTTATCTTTTGTTATTTTTTCTGTATTCAACCTTGTGTTGTCATGAAGGAGAACATTTTTTCATTTAATCCACCGTGTACGCTGCCACTGTCGCGCAAAACCAACGTGTGTTAGTCTACTGTAAATTTATTCTTAACTGATAGGTATGATTAATAGTTAGGATAATACATTCTTCATTACAATTGGTTCCTTAAAACGGAAATTACTTATGACTCAACCTAATAGTTTGTTAATCATTTAAGAAGAGGCAACTAATTTGTGTGTATGTACATGCAAGTTTTGTAGCTTCCGTCTCAATTTAATGTACAAATGCAAAACAGCTTACGTGCAAATATTCACAGCCGTCCTATTTAAGGAAAAAATTGGGTCTGAAAGAGGATTTTGTTTTTCACATCAAATTGTTTTGCAGCAATAAAAAGGCAATAATCAGTTGGTTAAAGGTCAGGTAAATATGATTGGTTCGGTAGAATAGACTAACCGAGTTCCAGTTTTTTTTTCTTGTGTTGTTCTTGTATGTGAACTCATGAAGGAGAGAATTTTTCCTTTAATCTATTGTGTACGCTGCCACTCCTGTGCAAAACTAAGGTATGTTAGTTTACTGTAAATTTATTCTTAACTGATAGGTATGATTAGTAATAAGGATAATACATTGGTCTTTATAACTAGTCATCAAAAAACGAAATTTACTTACGACCAATCCTAGTAACAGTTAACCAGCATGCAAGCAACTAATGAATTAATTCGCCCACGTCAGCCATGACAACAGACCAACATCAACGTCGATAAATAACTAAGACAAGAAAGATTTCAATGGAAAAGAAAGATGAGGGACAAAGGGAGAGGAGAATACAGAAAGAGAGGAAGAGAGTGAC